CCTGTATAATGAGGAGATTCTCCCTAACCTGTTCAAAAGATATTATATAAAATTGAAAGATCAAAGAACGTGAACATATTAGAGTCATTAATATAAACTACAAAGTAAATGAAGAAAAAAACAAAATTTGAGAGGGAAAAGTGACAGAGTATTTTTATCAGTTCTCTCTACTAAATAAAAAGAGGTATGAGCATGTTATTTAGAGTTGGGTACGCAACCATCAAAGCAATTAAAAAGACAGAATCTAGTTCTCTGAAGAATGGGACTTGGAGTGGAGGAAGGAAAGAATTTTATATCCTGTCATGGACTGAACTGTGTCCCCCCAAAATATCTGTCAATTTGGCTAGGCCATAATTCCCAGTACTGTGTGGCTGTCCTCCTTTGTGATTGTAATTTTATGTTAAAGAGGATTAGGGTGGGATCGTTTAACACCCTTACTAAGGTCACACCCCTGATCCAATGTAAAGCGAGTTTCCCTGGGGTGTGGCCTGCACCACCTTTTACCTTACAAGAGATAAAAGGAAAGGGAAGCAAGCAGAGAGTTAGGAACCTCATACCACCAGGAAAGCAGTGCTGCGAGCAGGGTGTGTCCTTTGGACCTGAGATTCCTGCGCAGAGAAGCTCCTAGATCAAGGGGACATGGACCTTCCTCCAGAGCTGACAGAGAAAGCGGTCCCCTGCAGCTGATGCCCTGAATTTGGACTTGTAGCCTCCTAGACTGTGAGAATAAATTTCTCTTTGTTAAAGCCATCCATTTGTGGTATTTCTGTTATAGCAGCACTAGATGACAAACACATATCCTAATGAAGTTTTTATATTTTATTTTCCTGTCTAGATTTCTAAACTAACAATAGTCCTTTTTAACTGATGAAGATTTAAATTTGATATGAAAACTATCATATATGTAAATGAAAAGAACATGTTATTCAAAAATGCATAAATTTGTGCATGTACATGTATGTGCTTATATACCTTCATATATGTTGTTGTCATTAGCTGCCACAGAATTGGCCCCCGACTCATGGCGATCCCATGTACAATAGGATCGAACCATTGTGATCTACAGTTTTTACTGACTTATTTTTAGAAGTAGATTGCCAGGCCTTTTTCCTAATCTGTCTTAGTCTCAAAGCTCTGATGAAATCTGTTTAGCATCACAGCAACATGCAAGCCTCCAGTAACAGACGAGTGGTGGCTGTGCTTGAGGTGCATTGGCCAGGAATTAAACCTGAGTCCCGTGCATGGAAGGCAAGAATTCTATCACTGAACCACCGTCCTCCTCTTCTATATTCAAAAAAAAACGCGCTGCTGTCAAGTCATTTCCAACTCATGGCAACCCCATGTGTTACGGAGTAGAACTACTCCGCATGGTTTTCATAGTTGTAATCTTCATGGAAGCAGATCACCAGGCCTTTCTTACGGCACCACTGGGTGGGTCTGAACTGCTAATCTTTAGCTTAGCAGTCAAGAGCAAATGGTTTGCACCACCCAGGGACCTTCTTCATACGTAGATACAATAAAAATCAGAAAGTATTATACTCTCTTATAATCGGTCTTTTCCACTTAATATTTCAAATAGAGTCATGCATCACTTAACGTCTATGATACATTCTGTGAAGCAGGATGTTGTGATTTGGACGCTGTGCAAACACCATACAGTCACATGCCACACACCATCCATCTGGGCAATGTCCGACTGCTGATTCACACCTGGTCCCATAAGGTCATAAAGCGCCAAGACAAGGAGCCTGCGACCCTGCCCCACACAGAAGCGAGGGAAGGACAAAGGCTCATAGAGAAGGAGGAGGGAGGGGACTGTGGGGAGGGGGCGGCCGGCCGGGCCTGTGCCAGAGCAAGCAAGTGAATGACAAGCCGAGGCGGAAAGGGCCCAGAAGGAGGTGAGCACCTATATACTGTATTTTTATGCAAATAACGCACACGCCGTCTATGTTTGTTTGCCTACCGCATCCTCCCCTCGTGAGATATTTTTGTAAGCGCTGCTATTCTAACTTTTTTTTCACAGCAAAGGCACGGCTGGCAAGCAAACGTAGAAAACGCACATTATTTGTGTAAAAATACAGTAATATGGTGCTCGCAAACATCCAAATCACATAACATTCTATTTCACAGAACGTATCCTGGACTTTAAACAACTCATGACTGTGAGCCTTTCTCCCTCCCTCCTGTGGTGGGCGGGGCCACAGGCTCTCCTCCTCCCAGAGCTGTATAACCTTATGGGACCACGGACGGGTATGCGGTCAGATGTTGCCCAAACAGATGTCATGCAGCACGTAGCTGTATTTTTCCGTACACATCATATAAGTAGATGAATGGATAAATCAATGGGCAAATAAATGGATGGATAACAGACCCCTAATGTTGACAGTGATTTTCTTTTGGTGGTGATTATTATAATCTTTATTTTCATCTTAATAAGTTCTAACTTTTCAAGAACCCATACTTTTTTTTTAATATTTTATTGTATTTTCGGTGAAAATCTACACAGCAAAATAAGTACCCATTCAACAATTTCTACACAAATTGTTCGGTGACAGTACATTCCTCACACTGTGTCAGCACTCTCATTATTCCCAGGCTGGTGGTTCTGTTTCCGTAACCTAGTTTCCCTGCCCCTCTACCTTCTCATCTTTGCTTTAGAGTTAACTGTTGACCATTTGGTCTCATAACGTTTTAAAGGAGTGCAGTATTCACAAGTGACATTCTTTATTTTATGAGTCAACCTGTTCCTTAGCTAAAAGCTGACTTCAGGGTATAGTTTTGGTTCAAGATTTAAACAGCATCTCAGGACAACAGTCTCAGGGATTCCTCTAGTCTCAACCAGTCCAGTAAGTCTGGATTTTTTAAGAATTTGAGGTTAAAGAACCCATATTACTCTTGTAATCAGAAAAGAAAAACAAAGCTTTTTCTAAAGGAGATGAAAACGACATAAAAATCATGTTTCTGGTAGAAAATGTACACGATGTGAGTAGCTCAGTTCATAGCAAACAGTTCCCTTTCACCCCTTTCTCCGTCGCTTCTTCCTCTGAACTATCTCTGTGACATGGTCCCTTCTTCATCTCCCCTGATACAACCTAGTTCAAGAGAGTTCATTCCACTGCCTCATATCTCCTATTATTTCAACAGCCTCTCAACCTGACTCTCCAACCCTAATGACTCACCCAGAATAAGAATATAGAACTAATGTAAAAGCATTGCTTTGTTCGTGTCTGATCATTCCTCTACTTAAGAATTTACACTGACTTTCTGCTGCCCCATATTTCAGGTAAGACTTCCCTGCTTAGCTCTCATGGCTTTCATTCCATAACCTGGTGTTCCCCTAATTCGCAAGGTTTTGTCCTTCTCCTCTCTGACGTACACTCCAGGGTGTGATCACATGCCCTTCCCACTACCTTATCTCATGCCCTCCCATCCCTCTCCATCTTTTCTTCACCAAAAAACCTAACAATCCATCCTGCAGATTCTACCTCTACACTCATCTTCCCCACAAAGCCTTCTCAGATGACTTCATCTTCCTTTCTGAACTTAGTTCTGTCAGAACCACACAGTTCAGCATCATAAAGCCTCCGTCTCTTCAAACTGAACATCACTACTTTGAGAGCAAGCTTGTGCCTTCATGCTCTTTTTGTCTCCACCTAGCATATATTCACCAAGTAAAGAAATTAACAAGTACCGATCACGTTTGGTTTCACAGTAATAGATATATCAATCTGAAGTCAACTCAAACCAATATTAACTACTTATCAAGAGACTCTGCAAAATGGCAGACAAAATGCAAAAGGTACTATAAGGTTACTAGGTAAACAGATATCCCTGATAGAATCCTTTCAAACTATTCCCATGTCATAAATTCATTTTTAGCTACTTAGGTAGAGATGGTCAGGAAAAGTACCTAAATAGTGCTCCAAGATGTCCTAGGTCTTTATTTATACTACTGATGTATGTATAGACCCTTTAAGATAGACAGTGAACGTGATCTTCTTAAGAGTTATTAATTTATCGTTTAGCCACATCATCAGGGTGCATAACTTAAACTTTATAACCCTCACAATGCCTTGCACAGTGTCCTTTACAAAGTAGGAAGCACTTAAATAGGAAAGGTAAAGCAAGTCCTAACAAAATATTGTAAAATTCTCACAAATGTTTTTAGTTAATATCTAACAATGGCTGGCACTTGCCTGAACGTCCCTAGGGAAGTCAATGGGTCTCAATTTGCAGTTTGTTATTGAGAGTAATAACCTCTGCCTTTATAGCTACTGTCTGAGTTGAAATACTTGGGTAATAAGTAACTGCAATATAAATGCAAAGGGGCAGGAACCTTGCAAAACACCATCGGTGACTCATATACATAAACATTAGATGCTAGAGTTCAAAAATCTTAGTCATTCATTCACAGAGTGACTGAGTATTCTGTGCCAGACACCATGCTAGGCTCACATGGTACAACCCCTTCATCTGACAAGATGACGAAACCGAGACCCAAAAGGATAAAATTACTTACCCAAGTCACAAAGAAATTGCAGTGGCAGAGCTGGGCTAAAACCTACAACTCATAATACAGTGATCTTTGTAACAAACCGCACTAATACCTCTTGATACTTCTACCATTTTTTAGTAACCCATATTATATTTTAGTTAAATTCAGATTCATATTAGTATCACCTGCCTGGAGTTATGCAATTTTCCAAAAAATAAATCCATGAAAGAAAAGGTTAGACTCTTAAAAAATTATGAACAAAAGCTAAGGACTAAAGAGTGGTAAATGTAAGACCCAGATCTGAATGTTAACTACTACAGCACTTTTGACTTTTACTATCATGGAGAAAAAAATAATTACGTAAAAATAATAGGTTCACATAATTTAGCATGTTCCTTAAGGCCCTCTCCCTTCTATACAGCTTGCTGGAACCTCATTAACTGCCACCTTCTCCCCTGCTGGGTCCATATTCTAGGTGTTGTGCATTTTGAACCAGCTTTCTTACCTGCAGACACCAGGACAACTGCTGTAAACAAGCTCATCTCTTCATCACTAAGTTGGAGGGCATTTAGCTTCTCACTAAACTCAAACATAGAGTTTAGTAGATCCCCTGCTCCCATTGAGTGCAAATCATCCACACTATACTTCTTTCCACTTAAAAACGTGACAGTACGCTCCTTTGCATCAAACAATGATGCAAACCGTACCATTAAAACCTGGAAAAAGAAAAAGACTTAAATGTATTTCATGACGCTCGATAATAATACTAAAGAAAAAACTCAGTATTCAAGTCAATTCAGAAACACCCTACATATAAAAGAAAGTTATATAAAAAAAATAAGTTTATTTTCACCCAGAACTACTTTCTTAGGGCAGTCTTTACCAAAGCAATAAATATTCCAGAACATCAAAAGAAATTCCAGCCACCAATGGCAGAATACTTGAGTCCTGTGATACTCTGAAGCTCTGTTAGTAAAGATTCTGAAATGCAAATACAGAACTAAAGTAGGCAACAATGTCAAAAAGTTTGAAACTGAGTCCTGGCACAAAGGCATTAAAGAAACTCTTTAGGCTACCAAGTACATCACAGGGTCTCCAAGCCCTATATAAAAAGAGCAACATTTCAATACATAGCAACACTTGGAAACACTGAAACACCAAATACAGCGTAAGTAACACACCAGGTGGACTCTAACAGACTATTTCAAGAACCCATAAAGAGCCTGTACACAAAGAAAACTACTACAGTAAAAGCATTCTAAACATCAAGTTATAGTTGAAATCAACCCAAATCATTCAACAACTGTAGTCTGCTTACCTATAGCACTTCCCCTATTATACTAAATGGTAACATCTATGCAACACATTTCTCTGACAACCAGGGGAACGTTGGAAAAAACTTGTTTTACCCCAAAGACAGTGAGCCTTCTATGAAGTCGGGGCTAGGGGCTAGTTCTAGAACACAGCAATCCCAAGATGAATCACAACTGGGAAGAACACAAGTCCTGGAGTCCAGGGACCTGTGTTGTAGTCCTGGATGTTATGAATTTACTGGTCATCCAAGAAAGCCTCTTCAAACGTCTCTGGGCGTTAGTTACCTAACCTCCAACATGAATGAAATAAACTTGATCACTAACGTCCTTTCTGGCTTATATCTTAAGTCTGATGTTTTCCTTTATACTGAAAATTCTGACCTGCAGGTGGTACCTTTGAATTCACTCCATAGCTTTATGAATACGGCTTGTTCTCTGTCCTGGCCGAGGATCTCCAGAAAACAGAGCCTGAGGCGAAGGCTCCTGCTGGATAGGCGTTGGCTCGTGTGAAAGCAGGAGTGAGGGAAGAGAAACGAGGCAGGGAAGGAGGGACAGCAAATATGCAGGGTGTGTTGCTGAGCTGGCCATGACTTGATACCAAGAGCAACTGATGGTCCAGTCTTGTGAAACCATCCAGGGAGAGGAAGTGAACATATACCCCCACTCCTGCCTGCTGTACAAAGGTTCAGCGGTTTGGCCCACCAGACCTCAACTTCCCACCCACCAGCCCGCAGTGCTGGGTTGTTTGTGAGTGAGTTCTGAGCAGGTCCTGAGGCTTCTCACACCTCAGTGGCAACAGGGAAGCCCTAGGGCAGCCGGCCCAGGAGAGGTACTATCAGACTGTCCTAATGAAGTTGGTAGCACTGGCTGCCCCATGCCCGTGGCTGTCCCCAGCCCAGGAAGAATGCATCACTGCGAGAAAAGCTGGGATAGAAAAAGTAGCCAAGTAGCACATAAAACGTGTCTGATACATTTCCAAAATACTCTATAATCTCTTAAGACAAAACCACATTCTAGTCACCCTTCTTATTCTGTACCGAGCATCGTACACGCCAGGCAAGGCTTTCAGTAGATGTCTAATACCCTGCAGAAACTGCAAAGACCACACCTGAAAGCAATACTACAACCTGGAGTCAGGTATGCTGGAGACACACAGCACCTACAGCTCAAGTCCCCAGTAATTCTCAATTTACCTAGTCTCTTCCCAAGGTCCCAAGGGGGTCGATCTTTTGTTGCTAGTTTCAGTCTCTGGACTATAAATACTTATTAGAACAGAATAAAAACTTTCAGGAAAATACCACATGCCCCGCATCAATATGCAGCATACAGAAAACATACCTCAAAAGTCCCAGCCTTTAAAAGGTTGACCTGGTCGTGCTGAGAGAGATCTCTGAACCCGGGAATCCTCTTCGCAAATTCCACCACTTCTTTCACTGCTGGGGTGAAGCTCATAGAAAATTCTTCCCAGATTTCATGCCCTGATTTATGAGGATCCACATATGGAGACTTACTCATTGGACAAACCTAGTATACACAAAACAGAAACATTCTTAAATTGTGAGAGATGATAAAAGCAGTTTCAAAAACAGCATCTCAACCATCAGAAACCTCCAACATGAAAATAACCCCGAACCACAAATAAAATCTACTGATATTAACACTTCAGCACTTTCTCCATTTGCTACTTGGCTTACTATAGAAAGACTTATGGTAACCTAATTTAAATAGCAGTTCTGGCAATCTGCTCCCATAAAGGTTACAGCCAGGAAAACCCTCTGGAAAAGTCCTACTCTGTAACACATGGGGCCACCATGAGTCAGAACCAACTCAACAGCAATGGGTTTGGTTTGGGTATAAGCAAAAATGCCATCTACAACAAGCTATTTTTAAAACTTGTTGCATAGGTTTTAAGAGTTTATTTTGGAATACTGCCTCCTTATGCTGGCATGTAGTGCTTTATGATTTTCAAAATAAATTCACACGTATGTATTTGACTCTCAACTCTGTTGAGTTTGGTCATGGCAGATATTATAATTTCTTAGATTAGGAAATGAGACAAAGAGGCTTAGTGACATATCTAACCACAGAAGTCACAGGCCTAGGACCCAAATCCACATTTAGTTGCTATTTTGAGACTTTTTTTTCTAAATAGGCAAAATTGCAAAGCTATAATTTCCAAAAGGAAAGGAAAGGATAGTGATGTACCTCACATTTTAAAAAAGGTCACTAACCATTTATTCCATAAGCAATGGGGTGATCACTGACCTCCACTTGTTCAATTTGGAGACAATGACTAAAGAGACAAGGTGCACCTTCTCAGTAAGGAATTATGGGGAGGACAGGAAGCCAAAGAAATAATACGAAAACTAAAAAGATGATGAGACATGCACCATATACTCTATCAGTAAAATCAGCCTCTAAAGTTTCGTTAAATCCATAGAAGAGCCAAGAATGGGATGATTCTGTAACCGTGGAGAATATCACAAAAAAAGAACCTAAATGCCTACAGATTTTTCCGTTCTTAAGGCAACTACTAAGTCTAATAAAATATAAGGTCACCTTTCAGATTCACGGAATCAAATAACTGCAAAGGAGGAAAAAAAATCTAACGTGAAGACTAGGGCAGAGCTGACTATTCTGAAAAGGGAAAAAAGAAGACTTTAATTACCTCGCTGCAGAAAATACCAAGCACTATCAGGGAACCTCATGGTTTACACTGGAAATGGTGTGGTGCTGCTGTTTTTGATGGAATTTTGGTTGAATATGAACTTTCATGTATAGTGTTGTGAGCAATTTGATGAAAAAACATTTAAATGATATAAATAATATCAACTCATAGGATGAAGTCTGGAAACTCCTTAGAAACTAGCCTGTTAAATTCTCAAACAATAAACATCTGTGTTCTATATCCAAAGACCTTTTTGTATTACAACCATTAAAGAAAACTCTTTACATAAAAATCAAAGAATTACTGACTGTGGCAAGCTAAAAGATCATCCCTTTGCGGAAATCCCAAAGCTACTAAGATACTGATTAATTAGAATGCTTAAACTTTGAAAGGGATTCCCAAGAATTAAAAGACCAATTCTGCATGATTAATATTTTATATACAATCTGAATCCCAATCATAATATCAATCAAATCAACTGCTCGGTATAAAATCAGGTCATTCAGCAACCGATGTTTACTAAAATTATTTGACCTAAAATCCTGCACAAACTGATTCTGCACATCTCTTAGGTGGTCTGACCCCCCAAGCTGGTATATCCCCCGAATAAAAGAAAACTTCAAAGCTTTCCTCGATTCAAAGTGAGCAAAAAAACTGATTTCACTATACCAGATGCATTCTCCCTCCAGTGTTGCACAGGTAACTATTCTTGTTCTCATTCTGAGAAAATCCATCTACCGGAACTCTATCACATACTCTTTGAGGATAAGCATTGGAGAAGTTCATACAATGTCCATTTGCAATACAAATGCCATGCCCGTTTGGGTAATGCATTATGTTCCTCCCTTTGTACTGTCCATTGAGATGCTGCTGGCTCTCACTACAAGGAAAATGGCTGCTAAGCCCACTGCCACCATGGTCATGATTTAAGTCATACTGCTCCATGTTCTTGGGAATCCGTTCTCCTCGGTGGGGCTGCATGGTCTCAGCTGAGTTTTCTCGTTGCTCTTGATTATACATAAAGGTATCCTTGTGGGCTCTGGTCACCATGCCAATCACCTCTTCCTTTGCAAAATCAGAAGAGGGAGAAGAAGAGCTTTTGATGTGGTCTTGCTCCAGCTGGGGCTTGGGTCTCAGCTGTTCCTGGGCTGGTAAGGCTGTCTGTTCATGATGTTCTACTAACGTGTCATTCTGCAAGTGACCACTGAACTGGCTGTTCATCATGGTCTTCATCGCACTTTGCATTTCAATTAGCATCCTCTGCTTTTCACGCTTAGGAATACGACCAAACCGGACAGCTATTGAAAGAAAAAGAAATTTAACACTGATATTCTAAAATAAGACCTGTTAGTACCAAAGAATAACACAAAATTATCTCTGATAGGTACGGTCTATAAACATACAAGTAAAGAAGGTCTATATGCTTCTGGTCCAAATTATTCTAAACTAGCTGGTTATGTCTTTTGAAGCATCAAAGGGGGTGGAGAATAGGGGACAGAGACTTTCCATTTTTCTCCCAAAACAAAGCTAAGGAGAAGGTCTATCTCTTGGTTATCTTGTAAGCTAAATCTAAGAAAGAAATATGAAATTAACTAATGGAAACCACAATTTGAAGTAGACCAGCATTACTACACAGCACATTATTAATGAGGCTGAGGGCTCTGTTCTCAAAAAAGCATGCAGGATTCATCTACCCACGTCCATTAATGTTTAACGGAACCTAAGGGTACAATCACTGCCTGAACAATGGACCCCCTTGTCAATTCATTTTCGCAACCTTACTCTCAAGACCCAACAACTACTAAATGAGCTGTTCTCTTCTGTTCCAACGTCACCCCTTTCAAGATCCAATTATTTTCTGCTTGGAATTTTTTGCTGATACCATGTGTTTTTATTAATGGAAGCATGCTGAATCATTGAGTATTGTGGAATTTTGGGTAGGTAGTATGAATTTTTATCTTTTTTGCCCCCTGCAACCATAGTACCCTCTGAGTCCTGAGGGACATACATTGTCCCAAAGAAAAGTTTTCAAAATTTCTCTTTCTCCTACCAAAAATGCACACACCTCATACAACACCCTCTAGAAACAGTAATTTGCGGCACATGCCTGTTTTTTTCCGTTTCAAACAGTCATAAAGCCCCTGCCTTACAGCAGCATGCACCATCAGTGGGAAAGCAGCCTCCCAATGAACCTGAGAAGCAGGAAAAGTGGGTGGGCAACTGTATATCCCAACAGACATGAAACGGTTGAAAAAAGAAAATCCTTTAAAAACAAAAAACATAATAAAAATGCAATTACTGGAAAATCAACTTACTGTATTTTAATTAAAGTCAATGAAATAAATAAAGAGATTATTCATCCTCCATTCTTTAGAAGCTAGTTGTAGAATGTGTCCTGTTTTTAACAATCCAGCCCTTCAGCAAAGGAGTCCTGGTGGTGCAGTGGTTAAGTGCTTGACTGCTAACCAAAAGGTCAGCAGTTTGAATCCACTAGCTACTCCACAGGAGAAAGATGTGGCAGTCTGCTTCCTTAAGATTACAGCCTTGGAAACCCTATGGGGCAGTTCTGCTCTGTCCTATAGGGTCACTGTGAGTCAGAATCTACTTGAAGGCAGTGGGTTTGGTTTTGGTTTTTAACCCTTGAGGGAAAGAAAAGAAAAGCCTATTTCTGGTCTAATGTTTACACAAAGATAGTAACCATTCAATATGCCCACCCAACAAGAAAGTCTTACTAATCTCACTGTAGCCTCTCACATTATCAGTGTCAAAGACAGACAACTGTATCGAGGCTCACGCTCGACCTCTACTGCCTCCCCTTCACAAACAATTACCATCTTTATTCTTTTGGAGCAAGCACCATATCCATCAACCTTGGATGAGCATTTCTAGTGCTATAAAAAAATTTCAGGCAACTGAAAATCAAAACAACAGTTGCTGAAAGATATTATTCAATACACTCTTTCTTTCTCTATCAGTGAGACACCAGAGTTAGGGTAACCTAAGAGATTGTTTAAATGACCCTTCCCTAGATAAGTATCAGGCTCATTTTCAGCAATTCTTAATTAACCCCACTAGACGAATCCCTCTGAAACCTATTATGTTACTTAGAACAAACGAGACTATCCAAAAATAATTTCCCTAAGCTCAACAGAAGAATCGAATCTTCCAAGGCTGTCACCCACAGATAATACTAACAGTTGCACAAATTATCACAACCTTTCTGTTCCATGAGAATGGATCATGCCAGAAGTGAGGAATCACCTCCACTCCAAACCCAAATGTTTCTTTCAATTTTCCATCTCCTTTCCATGCATTCATAATCTGTGCCCTAGAAGCACATTATCATCTAAGGGCTGGGAAGGGAGAGAAATAATTCACATAAGGAGATACGGGTTCCTCAGTAACGCTAAGACATCAACGGGAAAAAACCAAGGATCCCTATATCGAAAAAACTAAATGTTCTAACAAAAGACTTAAACACCCATTGCCATCGTGTCAATTCCAACTCATAGAGACCCTACAGGACAGAGAGAACTGCCCCAAAGGGCTTCCAAGGAGTGGCTGGTGGATTGAAACTGCTGACCTTTTGGTTAGCAGCCAAGCTCTTAACCACTGTGCCACCAGCGCTTCCAACAAAAGATTTAAGGGGAAAAGAAAGGCTACTTAAATTTTACAGGTAAAAAAAAATATCTTTTTACAAAAAAACAACAAAGAAAGAAGTTGATCTTTAAGCTGTTTCTGGGATGATGATGCTAAAATCAGACTGTAATGAATCAGGCATCCAACAAGGCATCAAAAAGTGTTTTTCTGAAATCAGCTTCACTCTAAGCACAAGAGGGCCCCTGGTAACTGGCCTCTAGTTCTGGTTTATGCTCCAGAATAAAAGTTGAGCTCCATATGCTTTAAAAAGAGCACTCTTTAAACTAGGAACATACCATCTCTCGACATTCCGACAGACAGACACTTTTTGAAGCGACACTGCTGACATCTGTTCCTATTCATTCTCATTATGGAGCAGTTTTCATTCTTCAGGCACTTCTTGTACTGGATGTTTTGCTGAATGCTTCTCCGAAAGAAACCCTAAGAACAAAGGAAGATGGACTCCAGCATTTTAAAAACATCCAGATGAACTCCTTATAAGCACTGCCCCCAAGCCTAACTATCCAGTATAGGACTAGGAAATAATTTTGGCTTAAAACAAAGAGAAATATAATATTGATGCAGGGAATTGAACTGGATTCTTACCAGTACCAGTAAGCACCTACACCTGCTCGTCAAAGAAAACGCTCTCTCCTTTGGAGATTCTTTGTGCTTGACCCCCAAAGCACCCCTTGTACTACACTTTACCCTGTTACCAGACCTGCCTACAACCACATTTTCCATCTCATAGTTTTAATCACATACAAATCCTGAAACTATTGAAATATGAATGACTCATTCCTGAAGAGTTGACAGTGAGAGATGTTCAATAGCCATAATTCCCTCACTACAACTCAGTGACTTTTTCGATTAATAAAGTTTGGTCTTCCCTGGGTCATGACCTGCTGACATCAGCAAGACCTACTTATTTGTGCCAGATGTTCCTGGCTACATGTCAGCAACAGGTAGGTGTTATACTACATGGCCACAGACCAACTTATGTCCCAAGGAAAGACAGTGCCAGAAGCTAGATGGCAACAAACTGCTGTCTTTAGTACAAAAACATTTTAAATGCATGCTCTGTGACAGATCTTCAAAGATCTCCAGCTTAATGGTTCCAGGGAGAACAGAAAATTCAAGACCACAATTACCAAAATAATGAATACTGAATTTCCCTTAAATATCATTATTAATGACACATTTCATAATTTATATTAAGTAGCTATGGGATACAACAATTTCATTATCTTATTACTGTGGTACTATGTTGTTGTTGTTGATTCTGCCTCATAGCAACCCAGTGTCAGAGTAGAACTGCCCCATAGGGTTTCCTAGGCCGAAATCTTTATGGGAGCAGATCGCCAGATCTTTTCTCCTGCAGAGTGGCTGGTGGGTTCAAACCACTGACCTTTCAGTTAGCAACCAAGTGCTTAACCTTTGAGCCACTAGCCCTCCTTGTTATCATGCTATTACCTAGGAAATAATTGGATTTGGACACTAGATGTTCTGAGGCAGACACAGTTTAAGAGGGTATAAAACAGATATATGTATTTATCAAGAATACACAATTTAGCTCATTTGTCTTGTGCTTTTGTTTCTCTATCTATAAAGTGAGAACAATGCCTCCCCCACAATTACTTCACATTTTTGTAAAAAAACGGTATGTATAGAATTTTTTTAAAAAAAGTGGGAAAGCGCTACATCTATATGAAATACTGACTAGTCTTGTGAAAGGAGCCCTGGTGGTGCAATGGTTAAGCGCTCAGCTGCTAACAGAAAGGTTGGCAGTTCAAACCCAGCAGCTCTGTGGGAAAAAGACCTGGCAATCTATTCCCGTAAAGATTACAGCCTAGAAAACTCTACGGGGCAGTTCTACTCTGTCACGTGGTGTTGTTATGAGTTGGAATCGACTCAACAGCACCCTATAACAACAGTCTTATGAAGTGATCTAGCCATTATGAGCTACTAATTCATTCAGAGCCACCCTAGAAAATATTTCCTCTTTCATCATGTATATTCATTATCTTGTTCGTCCACCATACCCTGCCAAACTAGATTCCTGCTCCTGGCTTTAAGTAAGAAAACTGCAAGAACAAGTATTTTGGCATGTTTATTTCTGATACTCAGGAGAAAGGAGTGTGCCAGATGAAAAAAACTCCCTAAGTGTAATTAGGGAGGTATAGACTATGCCGCTTGGAATTACCTGACAAACACTCTATGGGGATAACTAAGAAATAGCCTACTAAACTTACAAATTAAACGTAACTTTCCCAACTGCTTAATTTATATCTAAGATTATTTTACTTACTTGGCATTACTTCTGAAGATATCACGTTTTCACAAATATCTAGGAATTATTCCCAGTTCCCAGTACCTGACATGTCAGAATGTCAAAGTATCTTGTGAGACCTAATTCAAAGTTTGGTTTAAACTAAGTTCCAACAAGACATTAGTGCCTGGTCTGTTTTGCTCCTTGCTGCTTCCCCACCACCAAGAACAGTGGCTGACACAAAATGAATGAGCTTTTGTGCATTTAGTTTCATACCATAGTAATGTTTAACTGAGATAGTAAATGTTTTGTAACCGAAACCTTGAAGACAAGAGTACTTTCACTGAATTAAAAATTATTGTTTTGAAACAAATGTTTTATACACTACATAAATGTATATAAAATGTAACAATGTTTATACACTACATAAAATGCTTAAAACTGGTCTCTCTCTCTCCCTTTCAGATTATCAGATGTGGAAATGTGGGAAACCTAACCCCAATTTCTTTAATCCCAGAAGCACTAGCTGAAAGAAACAAAAGCAAGCTTTACCTTGCAGCCTTCACAAGCATGAACTCCATAGTGGAATCCTGATGCCACGTCCCCACAGACTTTACACAGTAGAACCATGCCACTAAATTCTAGGGCACAAACAGACATGAAGTGAAAAGCTGGAGGGAGCACTGTTGTGTTTCTGAAAACCATTTATTTTCTTTTCAGTTGAATATTTTGCTCAACTTGTGAGTACATTTAAAAACATAGAAATTTACTTTTAACAAGTAAAAGACAAATCTTTACAACAAATTATCAAATCCAAAGAAATCAGAGTTTTATTTTAAATATATATTATGGGACTCCCAAAATACCTCAGAGAGCTGGGTTTTTCCTTTCCTGATGATTTTAAGCATACGCTAAAATTTTATAAATCTGGAGTTACTTTAAACCAGATATGCAATCAGAATTAAGAAAACAATCCTCATGGATAAGAATTAAGAAGTCAGGCAGAGAAGTCAATTAATGAAAGGTGCAAAGGGATGTCCCCACAGACAGCTGTGCAGACACTCAGCTCAATTCACCTGCAGGAGCCCAGAGGACCCATTCCTTCCTGACCCTCTCCTGCAGTAGCTCTTCTTATCTCCACGATCACTCAGGGGCAGGGGTCCAAACCCCACCACTCATTTGGTTATCCCAATCCTAGTTTCCTAATCCCAAATGTTCCTGGCTCCAACTTCATGAAAGTAAACCCCTTACCACAAGTAAGTACTCTTTTCTGGACAAGATTCAGTACTAGAAGTCCAGAAGAAAGGGATCTGTGGGCTTGTGTAAAAGGGGATACTCCAGAGGAAACATGGTCAGACAGAGTACCTAATCACCTGTCCTGCTCTGGGGCAAGGATCAATCATGATATCACTGATTTCTCACCTAACCACTGACCTACGATTACCCAGAGGGAGAGAAAATGTGAAATATGATGGTCCCCCAAATGAAAAGTTGAGAACATAAGCCCCATCTGCAATTAACAGCGGCAACCTTTAGAAAACTGAAGTTAACTTACTTGTCACTCCACTATGACTCTTTGTCATCCCAGGTACACTCAATTTGCTTGTTTTCCCAGAACAATCTATTCGATCATTCTTCAGGATGCCTTCAATATTGGCGAGATCTCCGTTCTTGGGATTGCCATTGTTGTCAGGGTTATTTGGAGAAGATGGAACAGAGGAGGAGGACTGGAAACTATTCTCCGAACCGTCACTGTGACAAGAGGCAGGGCTAGAGGCTGAGCTGGAAGAACTGATATAGGCAATCACACCTCCTAGAAAAGGGGGAAAATCAGGTAATTAAATATAAGACTACATATATCTTCTATTTTTGCTAATTTAAAAAGTCACTAACTTTAGAAATGGGCTACTGATATTAAATGTGTGCTTACACCAAAAGTAAAAGTAACTCATTTTCTTATTTCCTACCACTCTTCCTGCTTCCATATGGCACAAAGCGCATATAACTCCTTCTGACCTAAAAAGTGAGAAGGCTCTCTCTGGCTTAGGGATCTGAGCACATGCTGACCCAAACCCAAAGCTTTCCATTTCCTGATCTTGTCCTAAAAGGACTGAAAAACCTTCCTGAGTGACTGCATAGCTTAGAGTAAATGAACTGTTTTGGCTGTGAAGAAATCTGGCTCTGACCCTCTGTCTCCTCCGTTATACCTTTATATGACACAATCCTCAAAAACAATGAGTTCATCATTTGCCTCCTCCAGCATTTGGATGAAACACAGGTTAATCAAGAACAGATGCAGTATTTGGAACTCTGGATAAAGTAATTTATATCAAAATGGAGAGCCTGTCATAGCTGTTGCTCCCAAAACCTTTCTGCCTGATACTCCCTGAAGATTTCCATGACTATCCACTAATTCCCAGTTCCACATTCTCCCTTCTCCAGCCAATTCCGCTGTTATAGACACACTCATCTCTAAGGAATCCAGACACACTACTTGTTCTTCTGACTCGCTATTTATAGTAAATGTTAAAGAGGCTTGAAGGAAGAACGCACGTTCTAAGAGTAACATAAGGCTGACGCTAACTCCCTCTTCATGGACTTACAAAACCAAAACCAAACCCAAATCTGTTGCCCTCAAGTCCATGCCGACTCAAAGCAACCCTACAGGACAGAGCAGAACTGCCCTGTAGGGTTTCCAAGGCTGTAATCTTTATGGAAGCAGACTGCCACATCTTTCTCCCATGGAGTGGCTGGTGGGTTTGCACCAGTGACCTTCTGGTTAGCAGCCAAGGGCTTAACCACCATGCTGCCAGGGCTCCTTGTGGTGCACAAACAGTGCCTTTCAACTTTAATTATCTGTACATCTAGAGTAGTGCTTTACAAGTAACAAGCCTCCCAGAAATATTTTTAAGACCCATTTCTCTGCCTTTGTGAAGCCTACATCTAATAACATGGACAAATCCAAAGCAATATAAAATATTACCAGGAATCACAAGACAGACAGACAGACATGGCATTTCTGACAACAGCCTAGATGAACCTACTGAGATAAGAAGCAGAGAATTCTGCACATTCCCCAAATAACAACTGCAATTAAGCATTCACTCAGAAAACTTCCTCTGCGAAAAGAAAATGCCTCCCTAATCTTTTTTTAGATAGGAGCCACACTTGCCAGTAATTTTTTTAAAACTAACAAGCCATACAGTCAAATACTGAAGCCAAAAACAAGTCCAAAAAACAGAGAGATTTCCATTTACAGACAAGAAAAAACAGGCAGAAGAATGTGAAGTCACTTTTAATCTATAAGGTCGAAATTAGGTACCAGGTAAGTATGTACACACCAATCATATACACCCAGGCTGGGAAAACCCTGAGAGCAAAGCACAATCACAACTCTCAAGGGACTTGCTTACAACCCAGAAGAGCACTGGTGGCGTAGTGGTTAAAAGCTTGGCTGCTAACCAAAAGGTTGGCAGTTCGAATCTACGAGCCGCTCCTTGGAAACCCTATGGGGCAGTTCTACTCTGTCCTACAGGGTTGCTATGAGTTGGAACCAACTTGATGGCGATGAGTTTGGTTTGGACTACATCAAGAAACATACAACGGTGTTTGTTATACACAAATTTATTACGCATAAATTCAACTATATGTACTTGATTTTTAAACATAAAAAATGTAAATTAACATAGACAATTCTACCCTCTATTGTGGTTAAGAGCTATGGCGAGCTACGATTGCTAACCAAAAGGTCAGCAGTTCGAATCCACCAGCCGCTCCTTGGAAACTCTATGGGTCACTTCTACTCTCTCCTATAGGTTCACTATGAGTCGGAATCGACTCGACGGCAACAGGTATTGTATTCACTAAGCATATATATGGCATCAATCTTGAGGTAGAAGGTAGGAACAGCTCTCTCTATAGCCAGACTCACTTCCCAAATGCTCTCTTGGCATAGGCAGCTCACCTGTCCAGTGTGAAGTTAGAGCTTTAAGATTAATATTTTTCTTGCAATAAGGCCCCTAACTACAAACCAGTAATTCTCAAAGTATGGTCCCTATATTAGAGGTATCAGCATTACCTGGAAATCTGTTAAAAACACAAACTTTCAACTCCCAACCCAGATATACTGAATCAGAAACTTTGACACGCCCCTCCGGGGATTCTGATGCACACTGAAGTTTGAGAACCACTGCCACGAGCCAATTACTTCATCTATGCTCAACGGAAAAGAGACCAAGGATAGTTTTGACAACAGGAATTTTCATCTACCACTGATTTTAAAGTCTAAGGGCTCTTAAGACTTAAAAACACTAGGAGAAAAGTTTCCCAACTCTGAATTTATTCTCATCATCCAGAGAGATTATGTAAAATACATATCATCAGAAATAGATAGATCGCTGCTGAGATGACCCAACTCATGGAGAATTTATGTACCAAAAAATATTGCCTGGTCCTGCATCATCCTCACAATCGCCAGCATGTTCAAGTCCACTGTTGTGGCTATTGTGGCAATTCATCGCACTGAGGGTCTTCCTCGCCCTCTACTTCATCAAACATGATGCCCTCCTCCAGGGACTCATCCCTCCTGATAACATGTCCATATCAAGTGGGTGGGGCTTTTTCAAAATACATGTTTCCAAGGCCCTGCCCAATCTAGAGAATGTGCCCTACATAAATGTGCAATCTAACAAGTTCTCCAGGTAGTTCCTTGCCCACTAAGTGTAAGAGTGGCCACATCAGTAAATTCAAGCACAAACTGGTCCACAGTCTTAAAGGCTGATGTTTTCATTGGCATAACTGCTTGAAGACCTTTAATAAGCTGCAAATCCAAGGAGAAACAATTTTAACCTAGAAGTCTATCTAATGGTATATTATTGGGTAAAGCCACTGTGACACCAGTCTTCATAAAACTGTAGAGATTTGTAATTCACATCAGAAATTTCAGTTGTTAGCAAACTGCTTCATTTTCCACACGTCTCTCCAATGAGACTAGCATACAAAGAAAATTATTATTCTTAGTCCTCAATAAACTCCTAAAGAATGGTCTCACAGCTATACGCCTTTTCCTAAAGTACTACCTTGGGTACTAAATTCACTTTCTAACATCTCAGGAGGATAAAAAATGAGAAAGTGATTTTTTTTCTTAGAAGTAGGTCTTTGGTAGGGCCACATTCAGAGTCCACCATTTATGTTCACAAGGTCTTCTGACCTTGGCTTAAGGTCAGATGGGTTAAGAACCGGTTAAAAGTACTGACTTAGCAATAAAAAGTACTGTAATCAATCACCCAAAACACAATTTCCTTTTCAAAAACTCCAAAATCAAACCTAAGAAAAATTACCAGGCTACTATCAATCTTAAGATTCAGTTCCTGTCTTAGAGGAGTTCAACAACCATTTGTGACCGGCATCAGGGAATCAAAGACGACCCGTCTAGAAGCAGCTGACAAAACATTTAAACACTGATTTAGTTGTATTAGCACCTACTCTTGCTACCAGATACCAGTCAATCAATATGCTGGTTAGCAACCTAAATGGGTTAAATTTTAATTTCCTAGAAGATAAGGAGTACATCTAGCAGTTCCTCTACCCAGCGAAGAAAGGCAAGTGAAAACTACAAGTCACCAAGTACCTCATGGATGCCAAGAACAAAAGACACAATTTCACACCACACTTCACCCTCACAATAACTCTACGAATTAACTTCCATTACCCCATTTTACGATGAGGCGCTCAGAGCACAGAGAAGTTAATACAGCTTCTCAGTGGCAAGGCCAGGGTTGAAACCCAAGGCTAATTCCAGAGTACAGACTATTAGTTCTTACCGAGAAGACCTGGGCATGTAAGTCACTTTCAAACTCTCTAAACAAGGGTCATCTTCTGTAAAATGGGAATATCTGCCCACAGTTGTTACAGGATTGAAATGGTGTTCATAAAAGGGATTATTAAAGTGCTTTTGCCTGCACGGTTTTTTGCTGATAAAGCAGGAAAGGTAAAATCCCCAAACCAGCAAGTTCCAACACCTCCAGAAAACAGGCAGAACCTACTTCTCAGGCACCTCAAGCTAAAATTAGCTGAGGCACAGTCTTCTCTATTTTTAGTTGAAAGGGACCCTGGAGCTGGGCCAGGTTCCCAGGCTAGGGCATACCCAGTGCTCCACTTCAGCCAGGCCAGAAGTCAATACCCAATTTTGTACTGCTAGGAAGCAGTTACTCTCTCCCTGCACACGCTGCAGTTTTCTTACCCTGATTCTAGGCTTGCCCATCATCAAAACCCTGCCTCTCCCACTGTCTTAGTCATCTAGTCTGGTATAACAGAAATACCACAAATGGACGGCTTTAACGAAGAGAAGTTTATTCCCTCACAGTCAAAGTAGGCTAAAAGTCCAAACGCAGGGCATCAGCTCCAGGGGAAGTCTTTCTCTCTCTGTCGGCCTTCTCATCAGTGTTCCCCCAGACTAGCAGCTTCTCAGCGCAGGGACCCCTGTCCAAAGGACACGCTCTGCTCCCGGCACTGCTTTCGTGATGGTATGAGGTCCTCCTGTCTCACTGCTCACTTCTGTCTTTTATATCTCAAGAGATTGCCTCAGGACACAATCCAGTCTTGTAGATCAGGTCCTGCCTTACTAACACAACCGCCACCCATTCTCTCTCATTAACATCTCAGACGCAGGTTTACAACACACAGGAAAATCACACAGTACCAGGAATCATGGCCTAGCCAAATTGATACACACATTTTTTGGGGGACATAATTCAAACCATGACACCCACTGTCCCCCATCCTAGAAGGCAGGCTTGACTTCAAGTCATGAATGTGTGTTTTTGCCTTGTGACTTAGAACAAAACATTTTTCCCATCAAAGAGCTTCAGTTTTCTCATATTAAAGTAAAAAGTCCTACTCAGAGTGGTGGAGCAGATCCAATTGAAGCATAAACTTCTGATTATGTCCTGGGTACTGGGGCTGCAGAGCACAGCATGGCTGCTTCCCTAAAAAGCCCTTACAAGCCCACTGGGAAAACAGTTATGTTAAACATTCATTCCAGTACCATGTGAGCAATGTTTCATACGAACGACTACAAACTGCTGAGGATCACACAAGGGCACCAGAGAGGCAGATATCAGGAGGGGCAAACAACACAGCCCAACTGACAATATCTAAGTCGGCTCTTACAGAACGTGTGGATCATTAAACGATGTACCATGTAGGAGGTTATATAAGAAAAAAGAATGGAATGACAGTGCAAGATAGTCATCTCCATGTAAATTAATGGAAAAGGGGTGCCAAGCATAATCTAGTATCTGGGAAAAAGCCAGAATTGACTAGCTAGTAGTTTACAAAGGAGAGGAATGATTAAATTGGGAGGTTCTGCAGGCAACTGCCCTTCCCACCAGCTATGACCCTATACCACTTCCAACCAAGTAGATTCATACAGTATCTCCTTCACCACTAAGACAACGGGACCACCAAGTTTTGCATAATCCTTCAAATGCTATGTGGGCTTAACTTTATTCCAGCATAGCAGTTAACAGCATGTGCTCTGCAAGGGGAGTCTGTGGGTTCAAACTCCGACTCTACTACTCGCTTGGGCAAGTTAACTTAGCTTCAACTTACTTAGTCCCTCATCTTTAAGATGGTGGCAACAGTACCCTCCTTCACAGAGGTAATGTGAGGAATCGAGGCAG